GAACCCGGGCCGCACGCATGCCAGGCAAGCACGCTACCGCTTGAGCCACATCCCCAGCCCATGGTGGTAACTCTTTATACTGCATATTCACTCTGGCTTAAGCCTCAGGGCTTCATGTCTAGGACCTACCGTTTAAAAGTTCTCCCTTTTCACCATGTCCTCCTCACAATCAGCTGAAGGTGTCATATGCTTCACATCCTGACTCATATGGAGTGGGCATGCTGCATCTCCCAGGGGATGCTTACTTGGTTGAGATTCAGAAATGGTCAGGATTGTGCCCCTGTGGGAGCCAAGTATAATGGGTGTCTGAGAGAAGTGTGAATCAGGTACAGAGTAGGGACTAAGTAGGGGAAGGGTATGAAAAATAATTGTGGCAGGGAATCCATCAGCAAGGGCAAGAGTGGTCTATAGTTTGCTGTGCCCACCACAAGCTGTAATAAGTACACACTGTTCCCTCCTCCTTTTTCTGCAGGGTTTGATCCTATTTTGCTAGGTACTAAAGCTCCTGGAGGAAAGGAGGCAAGAATAACCCTGGGCCACACTATCTTTCACCCCACCTCAATCCCAGCATGGCCTCTGGCAGCCTCTTTACCTGGGTTTGGGGCTATTTGGGTAATTTTGCGGAGGGGTACCAGGGGTTGAACTCAGGGGCACATGACCACTGAGCCACATCCCCAGCCCTATTTTGTATTTTATTTAGAGGCAGGGTCTCACTGAATTGCTTAGCACCTTGCTTTTTGCTGAGGCTGGCTTTGAACTGGTAATTCTCCTATCTCAGCCTCCCGAGCTGCTGAACAGAGGAGATTACAGGCATGCATCACCATACCCTGCTGCTATTGGGGTTCTAACAGGTGACAACATTTGGAGGTAGGGGCAGTGCAGCAGTTGACACCTGTCATCAGGGCACTCTTGGGGCTGTACCGGATCATGGGACTGAGGAGATTCTTTAGAATCTCTCTGTCTAGCTGGGTCTGGTGGCACACACATATAATCCTAGTGTCTTGGGAGGCTGAGGCAGGAGGATTGCAGATTCAAAGCCAGCCTCAGCAACTTAGTGAGGTCTTGAGACCCTATCAAAATAAAAATTAAAAAGGTCTGGGGATGTAGATCAGTGGTTGAGACCCTGGGTTCAATCTCTGGTTAAAAAAAAAAAAATAGAATCTGTCTACCCAGCTTCTTTCTACTCATGACAGCCTGAAATCTTAGTGAATAGAAAAGGAGATAGGCCCTCATACTCCCATGCATAAAGGAGTGTTTTTGTTTTTTGCTTGCTTGTATTTCCTGATTTTCTGTAATAAGTACACACTGTTCCCTCCTCCTTTTTCTTTTAGTGCTGGGAATCTAATACAGGGCCTCATGCATGCTAGGCAAGTACTCTACCACTGAGCTATATCCCCAGCCACACATTGCTTTTTTAAAAAATATTTTTTAGGGCTGAGATGGTAGCTCAGTGGCTGACTGTTTGTTTAGAGGCACTGGGTTCAATCCTCGCATCACATAAAAATAAATAAGTAAAATAAAGGTACTGTGTCCATTTATAACTACAAAAAAATTTTAAAATAAATTTTTTAGTTGTAGTTGGACACAATACCTTTATTTTATTTATTTATTTTTATGTGGT